AAAGAAAAACTATTTGTATTTCTGAAACAGACTTAGAAAAAATTAAATCATCAATTCCTTTCTGGGTTCCTGAGTTAACTAGGACTATACCCCTTAACTACTTTCTTCAAAAAGGAAGTCAAGTAGATATTTCAGGCATTCAATTTGCTGAATTTGGAATTTAAACTAGAAAACAAGTTAAGAAATACTTTATTGATCTCTGAATATTACTTAATCACCAAAGGACTTTGGCTTAGAAAGAGGAAGCTCATCCAGGATTGGAAAAAGATTAAAATGAATGGAGAGGACAAATATGTGAATTATCAACAAATGTTTCAAGGAGGTAGATAGAAAGTATTTTCCCGCTTGGGAGTTGGGAGGTGGGGGGAAGGAAACGTGCTATAGTAAGCATTTTGGCAATCACTTGGTCTCTTTCCTGTACTCACAAGCGGAAAGCAAAATGCTTTATTTTCATTTTGAGAACATGACCGCATACATTAGGCCAGTATTTCTCAGCCTTGACAAGTTTAAGGTATGTGGACTTCAACACCCAGGCTGGGGAATTCTGGGAGTCGAAGTCCACAAACTTTAAAGTTGCTAAGGTTAAGAGATACTGCATTAGGCAATATAATGCTCCAATACATTGATTTCAGTTTTCATAGTTGAGATGGACTGGACTGAACATTACAGAGGTTGGCCTCAAAGTATGAAGTACTCTGGTTGTAAAAGCTGTTCTTGAGACAGTTTCCCATCTGTCTACTCTAGAGAGAAGAGAAATTCTATGGGTAGCACCGTTTTTTGTGGTTGATACCTGAAATGTCTGCTATTTACTTCGATTTTGCTATGAATGTATTTGTAGGTGCTACTTTGCCAAAACTGAGGTCAACTGTTTTCAGACTTGGCAACTAGAGTCTTTCCAAAGGAAAGATGGGGAGGGGCAGGGGACAACGACCCTGATGAACTCTGAATTCATTCACTTGAGTGTTCTGGAGTGATTGCTGGAGCTGTAATAACTTCTTAAACCATCCCCTTATTACTCCCAAAATATGATGGTAATTCCACCAGGCTGGAACAGGTCTGTGTGAATCTACTTAAAGAAGGGGGGGGGGAATTCATATAAACACTTATCTGAATTAGACCAGCTTATGAACCAGGAAGGAGTGGAGTTTCCAATTCCTATGCAAGTTCTCAGAAAACTAAACATTAATTAGGTTGGATAAAGCAGGTTGGAGTTTTGTCAGAGTCATATTTACAATACAGAGAAAAGACTTCATGTCCTTGGGACAGTCTGTATTATAACAACAGTGTTTCTTGTATAAATTATCTATGCTACATTCTGAGCACCACCAGGAATTATTATCTTTGGAGTATCTTTTAATTACATTTATGGCATATTTAATTACTAATATGTGTGATAATTTATAATTAAACAGAATTATATGGTTTAATAGGTCTTATGTTAACCTTGCTCTGCCAAATATCTAAATCATTATGAGAACTGGCATAATTGTTTGGAATTCCGTGTTTCGGTGTATCATATTCCGGGAGAATTGAACACACAAGGAGATACACATTAGGAAAGAAACTTAGGTTTCACATCTCTTATTTAAGAGCCATCCATACAGCACGTTTATTGTGATGTGAAGATGCCTCATTTAGTATTTGTTGAGAAAATGGCGCCCGCATCTTGTAGGCAGATCACTACTGATAGGCTAAAACCAGTTTGAGATGTTCCAGATGAAAATAGTGTTTTCTCTGGGAAAGCAGAAGACATCCCATCCAGATAATCCATAGTACATGAAAAAGGAGGCTTGAGAAGACACAGAATTAGCTATCATTGGCCTGGTAGGAATTTTCCCATTTAGTCCAATTCCTGGGCCTGGAGTTTGTTTTACAGTAGCATTTTGACTGTGAGAGATTGGAACCACTTCCATTTTTTCACATCTCTTGGAATGGTTCCAAGCCATGAAGTTGAAAACCTGACTCAGGCATAACCCTTTAATTCTTTAATCAGAATAGAGCTGGAAGGGATCTTGGAGGGCTAATAGTCCAACCCCCTGCTCAAGCAGGAGACCCTATAGTACCATTTCATATAGGTAGCTGTCCAGCCTTTTCTTAAAAACTTCCAGTGATGAAGTACCCATATCTTCTGAAGACAAGCTGTTTCTCAGTTAGGAAGTTTCTCCTTAATTCCAGGTTGCTTCTCTCCTTGATTAGTTTCCACCCATTGTTTCTTGTCTTGCCTTCTGGTGCTTTGGAAAATACGTTGACCCCCTTTTCTTTGTAGCAGCCCCTCAAATACTGGAATATTGTTATCATATCCCCTAGTCCTTCTCTTCTCTAGACTAGACATACCCTGTTCTTGCTACTGTTCTTTATGTTTTAGACTCCAGGCCTTTAATCATTTTAGTTGCTCTTCTCATCTCTTCTCAATCCATGTCATTGAAAATGTGATTGAAAAATCCCTGCTGTGGAGCTTCCATAGTATGGTATGGTCTCAATATATAGCCATTTCCCTTCCCTTTTTGTCTTTCCTGAGATTTTATACAATACTTAATAACATGATTTCCCAAACTCTGGTTCTTCAACACTATCCAATGGCTATATAAATCTGGTATCACTAGATGGTAGCCAAGAGAGGCAAAGTTCTCTTTATTGTCACCAATAATTGACAGATCATCAAGAACAGATCAAAAATTATTTTGGAAAATGTACATGCGTCACATACCTTTCTTGAATACTGGCATAGCCTAAAACAGACATGTCAAACACAAGGCCCTGGGGCCGGATGCGGCCCGCAAAGTGGTTTCATGTGGCCGTGAAGCCATCCTGTAAACAGTGAGGGAACGGCCCCCGCTACCTTGGCCCTGGCCCAGGCCGGCCGGGAGCCAATGTACAATTTTGTGGTGGCCATCTTGGCACTTGCCCCGGTCCCACCCCCTTCTGCCAGAGACCCTCAGATCTGTCCCACTCCTGCCCAGGCCCCCACAGGCACCTTTGACACGAACGATGTAGAGCTGGCCATGCCCACCCAGTAGGCGAAACCCACTCCATCCATGCCCACCCAGTAGGCCGCACCCACCCTGGCCACACCCACCTGGCCCCTGAGGGCAACCACAATGCTGATGCGGCCCTCAATGAAATTGAGTTTGACACCCCTGGCCTAAAATACTGATGCATTGAGTTGTGTCTGGGCTGTAAAAATACAGTGAACTGCATTGCAATGATGAATACTTTTCTGCCATCTAGTGGTCATAAGGTCAATAAATGGACAGTCCTTTGGGGGAAAAAAAGATTGACAAGCCCCATCATAACACACATTCTTATAATGGGGTGGAGTGGAGCATGGGAGACAGTTTTTCCTACAGTTGTGACATTTGAATTTCAGCCAATGGAAACTGCCAGGGACCATCTTTGCAGTGTTACATGAAAGAGCTCTATGGTGAACAGCCCAGTAAGATCTATTCTTGATGTGTATTAAGAGCATGCTAAGGAGGCAATGTGATTTATGCCGATTTTTTCAGTAGTTTTATGGCTGAGCCATCAGAATGACTGACTAATACTCAAGGATGGTGATGTTCTTTCTCTCTATGACTTTTACCTCCCAAGGAATAAGTGGTTTCCCAAGACGTCCTATGCTCCACTTCATGGAAGGAAAATTAACTGGTTAAATATATTGTACTACTATGATAGCTTCATGAGAATTAGGGATTTTCTCTTCATAATTATGTAACAATTGGCTTGGTTTCTATTTCCTTTTCTGTGTGATGATTTAATCTTCATACAGTCTTTGCTCTTCTAATCCAAGATTAACTATGATTAATACCATTTTAGGTCTTACTGGTGTTAGCTACTCAAAAGTATAATGCTCCTGGTGCTTTCAAATAATGCTTGAATCTTTGTTCTGCTTTGTTGGTGGCGTTTTAAGGAGAATCCAGACACTTTTATCTTCAGTCATCCCAATTTTTTAACTGTTTCTTCTCTCACTTACAGCCTGCTTCCCTCCTTAATATACCAAGAAGAAGAAAAGCATCTAATTCACTTGCTACTGCTAGTTCTTAACTAGAGAGGTTTTCTAGCTAATAATAATAAAAGCTGTCCCTCAGATATTTGTCACCAGCCCGAGTATCTCAGGCTAGATTGAAGGATTATTTTTAGAAGAATTGTTTTTTTTTAAAGAGCAACAATTGTCACAAAATTTAATTTTAAAACAAGTGTTGACTATGTTCACAAATCGGAGCAATTTTTGGGGTACAGAAACAAAACATTTTCATAATAAATTAGACAACAGTTTAATATAATTTCATACAAGCTAAACGATATTGTCTCCAGAAGAGTGCACTATCTTTTTGGGGTGAAACAATTTATTACTTTCTGCCAGATTTTTTTTTTAATTTCCCAATTGAATCTATAATCCAGAGACTTCCTAGTGGTCTCCTTTCCATGGGCTAACCGATATCATTTAAAATTTTGAAGTCTATCAAGACAGATGCTATCAAGAGGTCTATTGTACATAATGTAATCTCATTTTCAGTTTTCCTTCCTGATATTTAATGGTATTCACCCCAACATATTTTACTGAATATTTGTGTAAAACAAGATTGAAGAATGTTGTGTGTGCATTAGTATTACTTAATATTTGTTCATGAATGACTGTATAGGTTGCCACATACGATATCCTGGCTTTCTTTACTAATTAAACATCAGCGTGCATCTATAACCCCGGACCGCAGCAAAACACAACTCGGCTCCTCCCAGAATGCATTGCACAGCTGAGAGCCCAACGCAGTCTCTCCCAGCATGCACTCGGCCCCACCAGTTTCCCGAGAGCGCCCTGACAGGTAAAGGAGGTCACTGAATTCGCCATTTCCGGTGCGCAATGCAGGACGGGAATGCGAGTAGCGCTATTGGCCGGTGCTTTCCTCGCTTTTCGCCGAGATAGGCGGGCAGGAAGGAAAAGCGGCGGCCGAGGCGGCTTGGCGGGGCAACAGATTTTTTCCCGGTGAGTGTTATGCGGAACGATCTGACTTTGTCGGGGTCGGCGCTCTCTCCCGGACGAGGCGGGCGTCGAAAAGGGATCGATTTAATGCGCGATTTGATGACGTAATAACGGCTCTGGAGACGGAGCCGCCGCCGGAGTTGCGCTGGTCCATGTGCCGGCTCCTGTGGCCTCTTTCCCTTCGCCCCGGCCAGCTCTAGCCTCTCCCGTGCCGCCCTTTATTCTCTTTAAGAGACCCTTTCACTCCTCGGCGCCCCCCAGCGGTTAGGCCTTCCGTTTAGCCCGCTTTGAGCGCTCATTGGCTCCGTTCTCTTCCTTTCCGGAGTCCGATTGGTTGATGTGGACATGATTGACAGGCAGCCCCAATAGGGTCAACCTCAGTGTGGGTCCCTAAAGGTAGCCTTCCCCGCTGGGCCGAGGTTTCCGCCATCCTTAGCTAGCATAGGCACAATGGCTGGCGCCGGGAATTGCTGGCTAACGTACGTGCAGTGCCGTAGTTATGGCCAGGTGTGTGTGTGGGGTCAGCTAACCACTGAAGTCTCAGTTGTAGCCTGCTGTGGTCCGCATGAGGGGAGGACAACAGCAAAGCCCTCTTTTCTGCCATCCCAAAACGACCGCTGTCAGAGCCAAGCTCCACGCCCGTTAGAGTTATGGCATGAAGGACGTATGGGCACGAAGAGAGGGGTTACTAGAGCTGGATGCAAGCCCCTAGAATACAGGAAAGAGAGAAACGATGGTCTTGCTCATGGCTCCCCTCTGGCACTGTGTTGCCCTACCCGGCTTACGACTATACATGGAGAAATAGAAAAATATTGCATGCCCTTCCTATTTATTGCAATATTTAGGTGCTGCTAAGACATAGCGTAAAGCAAAGGTGGACCATATTTTGACTTGGGGCCTGGCTATCAGAGGAACCGCCTGCCAGTTTTTGCCTATCCAGTGCCATGCTCCATGTCCCATCAAGTAGCAAAGTCATCTTGTGGGACCCAGAAAGTGTGCATTTTCTGGCACAGCGCTTCACCTCTGGAAGGAGATTTACCCCTGAAATCCATGTGGTTTTCATCCTCTTGATGTTCTATAAGGCCCTGAAAATTTGATTCTCCCAGGCTTTGGGTTGTGTCTGCTGAACGGCCTGGTACATTGTTTTCCAGTTGGTCAGGCTTTTTATTTGTATCTCTGCTGTTTTTCTTTTTTTACTTGTAAGCTACCCAGAGTTGTCAGAAGGTCAGCTGACCTCTAAATTAAAATTGAAATACATAAATAAAAATACTTTGGTATTTGGGGTGGAGGGCGACAAAGATATTGGGTGAAGGAGAGTTTGAAGTGGTTTATTTATGCCATGGTGCATTTTTTACAGTGTCTACTGTCATTTTCATCTGCAGAAAATGTGCCAATGGTATATTCAACCATATCCAGAAAAGGTCTGAGAGCTGCAAAAAAAAGGGCCTTGAATATCATTTGTAGTTTTGGAGCTATCAATTACTCTCCCTTAGCATAAAGGAATTGTTAACAGCCTCTGTCTGTCTGATCAGTGTTTGGATGGGAAATTAGTTGAGCACTTTTTAAAGAAAGATGGTGATATAAGTGTAGTAAATATAGGCTATGCAGTTGCACGCATGGCCGCTGAGCAATTTTTGCACCATCACTTCAGGAGGAGCAGCAATAGGCAAACTTTATTTTTTATTAGTGTTCATCTATACAACTTGCAATCCAATATTTATTGAGCTTTTTTCTGAGCCATGGTGGAGATGTTACTCATCAATGGTCAATTTGGCCCTTCTTTCTTTTCCCTTGCTCTCTTGTTTCCGTTGAAAGCAACATAAGAATGTATTAAGTAGAATACATGCATTTAATGGATGGGTTTGCTTTTGTTTTCTCTACTGAATTAGTTGTAGTTATAAACAGGAGATGTCAACCTATCCCATTCTGCTACATGACAGAATAGCTGAAATGGAGAGGCTGTGAGAGGTGTGTTTCAGATTCCTAAGATACCACCCTAAAATATTTTCCCGTCCAATTTTTTTCATTAAAGCATTTTCATCTTTGTTTGCTTTTTCAATCCAAAATTTCAGAATAGCTTACATTTAGTTATATGTGAAAGACTGTCTTTCCTAGCTTCAACATTCAAAACATATGTTAAGCTTGATTTCAAAATGGCTGACTTTCTCTTCCCTTTTATATATATATCCATGTTGTTTTCATCTGCTTCTGAATTGAATTTTTGAACTGGGAGTTTTTCTTTGAATATGACTTCAGAAGAGGGAAACTATTATTTATCAAGATGCTGGGTATAATGCCTTCCATTTTTACTATTACTAAGAAGTTGTGTTTCCTATTTGAAATTTTCATCTCTGGCAAAAATACACGTCTGCCCTTTCCTGATCTTTTTCCTAGACAAATTTATTAGCCATGGAAGCTGAAGAGACGATGGATTGTATTCAGGAATTTCCAGAGCATTATAAAGTAATTTTGGACAGATTAAATGAACAGCGGGAGCAGGATCAATTTACAGACATCACTTTGATTGTGGATGGTATGTAATGATGCAAACATAGTCAAATTAGGCACTCTTCAGTCCAGTTCTAATCCACAGAAAAGTTAATCTGAAGTATCTGGTTATAAATGAAAACTGAAGTTATTTAAGGAGCAATATTCTATCACCTGTAAAGCTAGCTGAAGAGCTGTTGGATTTGGTGGGAGAGAGTGAGAGTTGTTCTAAAATTCTTGGAGGGTAGGAACCCTTTTTCTTAACCACGATTTCCTTGCCAATCTTGTTAGTTTTTCTTCTTGCTCTTACTGTGCTAAAACCTGCATAGTGTATTTCTTCATATTACAAGCAGTAGAACAGGGAACTCTCTCACCATCACTGCCTACATGAAAGCCTGCAGGCTTTAAAAATTCTGTTCTGTTCCAAATCTTGCATCACTGTTCTCAAAATTGCTGTAAGAGTGCTCTGTTACATGAAGTGGGAGGAGCCTGCCTCATTTAACCTAAAGATTAACGTTTTAAAGTTAATTATATATACTTATCTAGGATATATATATATCTAAATAACTGGAGCTTGGGAGGATCAAAATGAATATACATAGAATCATGGTTCACAAATTTGTAAGAGATGAGTTGTGCTACAGACTATTAATTTCTTAAAGCAAATTTCAAATATTATCTTTAGGAGCAGCTAAAACAAAATATAAATTTAGAGTTGGAACTTAAAATTCCTCAGCGGATCATCTGAAAGCTTTTATGTACATATCTTCTTTTACATAGTCAAAACAACAGCAAAACCTGTTAAGTGCTTGTAAGTGTAAGGAAGAGAGTCTTGTTGGAGAGGTTTTTGACAACTACAACTACAACTACAAAATGACATTAGGTTATTCCTTGTGTTATCAATTAACATAAAATTGATTTTACATATTTTTCCTTACATCCAATAATATCCAGCCTGGAGTTTCATATAGCATGGTGATGTTGTTTTTCATTTCCAGGTCATCATTTTAAAGCTCATAAAGCTGTTCTCGCTGCCTGCAGTCAGTTTTTCTACAAATTCTTCCAGGACTTCACTCAGGAGCCTCTAGTAGAAATTGAAGGTAATTTACAGATTCAGTCATGTCCAGAAATACTAGGGCAGTGGTGGTGAACCTATTGCAAGGGTGCCAGAGGCGGCACTCAGAGCCCTCTCTGTGGACACACGCACCATCTCCCCAGCCCCACCTCCTCCCACGGCCCCCTCCTCACCAGCAGCCCACCCGTAGGAGAGTTGCCCCTGGGCGCTGCCCACACGAAGCAGCGGAGCCAAGGACATGGTAGCTGGGCAGCAGGGACAAGACTCCGCCCTTGCGCCCCATTGTGCACAGATGATGCTGCGGGGCACGGGCGGAGGGCATGGCCACCATGGTGCTGCTGGGCTGCCCGGGTGATCTGTGGCAGGCCGTGGAAGTGGTGGATGGCCCAGTGGGCAGGGCGGAGTGGGGACGGGGGTGGAGGGCAGTTTTTGGGCACTCAGTCTCTAAAAGGTTTGCCCTCACTGTACTAGGGGATAAAAGGACTCATGGATGCTTTGGAAGCCATCCACTCTGGTAGACACAATATTCCAGGATTACAAAAGAAAAAGAATGGACTGTGGTTTAACTCTAGGCAACTTTTCTGTACACTAACTAGTTCTTACTCCTGAATTGTGTAGTAAGGTTTAATCAATCTTGGAAGGCAAACAAATATGTAAGGCTGTTAAGATTATTTTGCCCTCCTACCTCTTGTTCTATGTTGCTCTAAATCCAATATTCTTCTCCATTTTGGAAGTACAAGGGACAAAGTAGTGATAAATCCAGTTGTTGCATTGGGTTGTCAACAAACTTAGAGGACACTAAAGCCCAGAAGACATGGCTCCCTTTCTAGCTGCAAACTGAAAAAGAATAGAAGGACTTTTAATTCAGCCTAGTTTTGATGGTGTTGCATTTTCTGGTGCCTTATTATTTTTTTTGTATCTTCATGGCTGCATTTTTTTAAAAAAAAAACCTTGCTTGGTCGACTCTAATTGAATGTTGTTTGTTAAGTTATTTCTATTTTGATGCTGTTTTATATATTCTGTGAGATCATTATTAATTATTATAAATTGTTCCCAGTGTTTCAAATCTGTTTTCTAGATAAAATCAGTTTATGGTCCAAGGGGGAGTATTCTGGCTGATGAACTAGAATTTGCCATGTTATACTTCTGACCCAGTCAGGTGAAACGTTTCTTCTGCTTGGAGAATATTTTTAATTTGGAAAAAAGATAGATATCTTTTCTCCAAATTTAGTAATTATCCTCGAAAACTTTGATCAACTTACATTTCTTTAGTAACATATTAATATTTTGAGTTGTAAATGTTTTGTGTAAGATTTATCAGTTTATTGTTAAGCTGTTTTATCCAATGCCAAGTTTTAGTTTATCTCTATACACTATTTGGCTCTTTTGGCTGCAAAATAATTATTAGGTAGTCCTCAGTTAATAATATTCGTTTAGCAACTGTTTGAAATGGTGCTGAAGGAGTGGTGGTCCTCTAAAGTTCCAGCTGATCCAACACTACTGTGTGACTGTGATTTACAATCTTACCTGTTGGCGTCATACAAGTAAAGTCAGTGGACATCCTCACACCCTCCCTGAGCCATGATGTGCTCATGCTGAGCATTCTTGGCCATTCACACGCACACACCCTCATCTGGCAGCAGCTATTCCAAGCCTCCCCCCAGGCTTGCAACACATCTCCCCCACACACATACACACACCATCCCTGAGCCTTGCTACCCTTGCATTATGCCTCCCTGACTATTTGTGCACCCTTTTGCACCCTCTCTCACCCTGCAGCAGCCATAAGCCCTATCATACTCGCACCATGCCTTCTCTGGTACTCACGCACTTTCTTGAGCTTCACTGTGCTTGCACCATGCCTCCCTGGCCGCTTGCCCATCCTCTCCAGCCCAACAGGAATCACTCCAGGTCACTGCAGAGCTTGTACTGTGTCTCTCCCCCCCCCCCCCCCGCTACTTGTGCATCCTTACGGACTGTCTGCGATCCAGCAACAGCCGCTCCAGGTCCTGTTGAGTTTGGCCACACCTTCCTAGCACCTGCACAAACTCACCCAGCTCTTTCTACCCCAGCAACAGTTACTTACCTGCTTACTGGCCAATTTAAAAACCCTCTTGAACTTGCAACTCCCTGGCAGCTTCCTCACGAATTTTGGTTGTTGAAAGTCACTTAACAGTCCATGATCCTTGCTTAATAATGGCAGCATGTACTACAGGGATTGCCATTGTTAAGGAATGAAGTCTTGTGAATCACTCTTTACAACTGCGTCACTTAGTGACAGAAATGCTGGTTCCATTCTAGTTTACACTGGTAAAATTCTACCTTGAGCATTATGTCTGCCTCTGATTAGTACACTAAGAAGATTTTGAACAAACTGGGATAGATTCATAGAAGCAGTGAAGATAATCATAGAACTTGTCTTATGAAGTCAGACTGAATAAGCTTACCATATTTGTCCTTGTGTACAGAAGCCGAAGGAGAGAAAATACCTTTCAAATAACTGGAAGGGATGTTTTGTGACATCACACTTTACAACTGCATCACTTAGTGACAGAAATGCTGGTCCCAGTTGCCTTCATAACTTGAGGACTACCTGTATTATTATATATAGTATTTCTGTGTATCTAGGTTTGAGAAATACAAGGTTTTGTAGCTGAGAGAAAGCAACAGCAATGGCTACATTTTTGCCCTGCCCGGCATGTTTCCTAATAACTGACATAATTAATTCAATAGCATTGATTTACAAAGAATAGCTTGCAGACTTTTAACGTTGCAGTGAAGTAGGAATTTATCAAAATATCTATAATATAGAAATATACATAAGCTTCTTAGACTTCAAGGCCCTTATCTTCATTAATGTTTATATAATAATATTTAAAAGAGAAGAAGTAGGCTATATTTTGCAATCAAGATATAGGATGAAAGCATGGAACTTTCAGATAGTAGGATGTAATAGTTCCATTCTAGTTTACACTGGTAAGCTGAAGGAGAGAAAATACCTTTCAAATTGGAAGGAATGTCTCACTGAAGAAAGCTAATGCTTATTTTTCTTTATTCCAAAGTTCAGGACATGGATTTAAATTACAAGGAGGCAGATTCCAATTAATTGCTAGGGCAGGTTTTTTTTAACAGTAAGAACACTTTCACAATTAATCCAAAAGGTAATAAACTATGGAGATGTTTAGAGAGATGCTGGATAGATGGCTTGTGATTTTTTTTATCTTCAAATGTTTATATTCTTCATTAGACATTCATTCTGGAGTGGGATTAAATTGCCCTTTTCAGATTGTGATTGTATGAAGTTGCCTTCATTGGTTGTCTTACAAAGCTTGGATTTCTGTTTTCATTCCAGTATAGACTATTAGATCACTAGATATTTTTTGAAAAACCTAATTTGTAGTTCAGGAGAAAGAAAGAAGGTTCTGGTCCAGTAGTGAAACAGTAACCAGTTTCTAGTACATCGATACTCATTAAATATTGGAATTCTTACAGATGCCATGTAATGTAAATATTTGATCCAGAAAAAAATCTTATATTCAGCAAGAGTATGTAATCACTATTTTATCAAAAATATTTTTAATACAATTATTAATTCCTGCCTAAGAATTCTTAATAGATTCAAACATATTGATTTTACAAATCAATTACCTGGTGATGTCATCTTCAAATCGCTCTTAACTCCTGATAATTACATAGACATGCAGTTTTCTAGACATCATTTTTTGATGTCTAGAGGCTTTGCCCTTGCCTTCTTCCCTTAGTTGAGGGTGGCTGATCCAAAGTCATTCATCTGGCTTCCTTGCCTAAGTCAAGATTAGAAGTCACATCTCCCTGTTCCTAATCTGGGACCTTAACTATTAGACCAAACCAACTTTTATTTATTATTGTCAACCTAAACAGTGCACTGAAGGATGAAGTTTATGGATCATAATCAATTACACTGGTCCAGTGCAAGTTGATGGCTTGCTTTGAAAGGCTGAGAGAGAGAGTAACTTGCCCAAGTCTACCCAGTTAGCTTCCCTGCCTAAGAGAAACTAGGATCTTTTTCTTCTTGCTCCTTAACCACTATATGACACTGGCTCTCAGACAATTCATATACTAAATATTTATATAAAAGTAGACCCCAAAATACTTAAGTCAGCTCATTTTTGCTTTGGATATAAGTATAGAAGTAACTGTTCTCATCCTGTTTTCATGGTGCACATCTATAATGATTTCTTTTTTCATATTTAGAGGAATTACAGCTTTTAATTTTGAAATATAGGAAATGACCACTGGTTGTAGCAAAATGTTAGATATCATGTTCCTGAAAGGCAACTCTTATGAAACAAATACGATATTTTCCAGCCACAAATCTGTGCAAAATGTATGAGCGAGTTCTATATTTTGTCTTTTGCCCACAATCAGGTGTAAGTAACATGGCCTTTCGTCATTTAATTGAGTTCACATATACTGCAAAACTAATGGTCCAGGGAGAAGAGGAAGCAAATGATGTCTGGAAAGCAGCTGAGTATCTTCAGATGTTGGAAGCCATTAAAGCACTTGAAATCAGGTGAGTCTGGTCAAATTCCAGAAAGATCATTGTCTTTTTGCTATCTTCTCAAGAACATTAAGACTTTTTCATTCACTTTTAACATATCTCTGAAAGATGATAGTACTGCTGGGAGATTTTATATATACAGCTTGCAGTGGCTAACCTGTGTTTGCTGTTGAAAATGCAACTTGATAGGGAAACACACCCATTTCTTATTCCCAGGAAAATCTGTGAGGTTTGTTCATTTTTCTGCATATTTTTTTAAGCATGTTTCCAATCTGAAATATGTGGACCTGAAAAAACTATAATGTATAGTTGGGCCAAGCATCATTCTTGATTAACTTGAAGATATTTAGGCTGCATAATAAAGTAGATTTTATGATGCTGAACATATATAAGTTGAAACACTAGAATCTAATGTTCTATGCAATAAGTTGAGATGTGGAACTAGTGGTTCTCATGATGTTGCTGACCTTCATCTCCCATAGTCTCTGACAGTTAGCCATGGTGACTGGGACTGAGGACAACTGAAATCCAACAATATCTGGATGGCAAGAGGATTCCACATCTGTTAGTGAATAAGCATCTGTGTACAGTTTTAATGTGTGTAGAATAAAATTCTGTTGAAAGCCAAGCACTACTATTTAATGTTTTGCAGAATGCAGAAGAGTTATGGTCTCCCTTCAAAGAGCTTGCAGTCTAAATGAACTGGGCAGAACGTATTTGATCAGAGAGGACCAGGCTTTATAAAGAAATAGCTTGGGTATGTTATTCTGGGAATCGAATCTGAATTCGAATTTGCACCCCTTGCAACCCAGTGAGATGGGAGGAAAGCATAATCAGAGCTAAATTAAGAAGAGAGTTAGCGATTTAAGGAGCTTTAAGAAAAAGTGTACTCCATGGATAATATTGAAAAAAGGGAGACCATTCTCTGTATGGAGAAGTCACTGTGGAAAATAAGGGTAAAATCAAGACTGAGACAAAGACTTGCACTTGGGTCCAGTAGAGAGAATGAGAGATTAGAAATAACAGGTGGTAGGCGTTAAAAGATAGACTATGATTCTGGAAGAATTTGCAAGGCTGATACGGTTGTAAAAATGATATAAACATAAAAGATTGAAATATAGAGATTGTTTTAACATTATGGTGGTGTGAACACCACCACTGTTAAATATAGTATTTTTACCGGTGCCAGCCAGCTAAGGCTATATGGTATTTAGGAAATGGGGTGGCTTGTAGATGGGTACCAACTATTGGGAGGAGTCTTGCCTTGCCCTAAAACATCCTCTTCCCTGACAAGAAGACTCAACCAAGGAAAACAGCCACAGAATGTTTGATCAATTTAGGAAGAGAACATCTGTAGTAAACAAGTATTAGCTATTAGCATGGGGACTGTGAGGGAGAATGGATCAAGGACTGAGTGGAGAAATTCCCAAGTACTTGGGTCACCACATGGCTAGTGGAAGAGTAACTCAACTGTCAAGGAACATCTAGATTAGTGCTTCTCAACCTTGGCAACTTAAGTTGCATGGACCTCAACTCCCAGAATTCCGCAGCCAACAAACTGGCTGGGGGAGTTTTGAAGCCTATACATGTTAAGTTCTCAAGGTTGAGAAGCACTGGTCTAGATAACCACAAAGTTTCTGTATGTGCTCACTCAGGGCTGGTAGATACTAATGGGATATCAGGGAGTATTATTACATGTTAACTGGGAAAGAAGTACAGATTTTATCTCCAAAATACCAGACTTTCCACAATAAGTAGAGAAAGCTTATGCTTAAACAACATGGAATGCTCAACCATTAGTCCTGGAATTCTAAAAAAGTGGAGAATGGGAGACACAGCCAGTAGAAGAAGAAAAGTCCTTCTTAACTAATAAAATGCAGCGTATTTTAAATCTAATATAGCAATATTTTTACACAGTCTTCTTGTTGAAGGTATTAAGGTGTTGAAGGTATTCAGCATGAGTATTTGTGATTCCAATTGGCTACCTCTTCACAAATGTGCAAATGAAGTGACAACAGTTTTACACTCTGATCAGGAGCTTTACCCCAAAATCTTGGAAGTCTGTTCCTAACACGGTACCAATTTTCAGACAAGCTTTGAAATCTCTTTCCCTTACAAACTAGCATTTGACAAATCATCAATCATCATAGAACTGAAACCTAGGTAAACTTACATAGCACTGATATGTCAGTAGAGGTTGCAGATATTGCAATGGACAATGTTGTGGACATCATTTTTCTTCTGATTTAATCATGTTTATGTATCAGGAATTGCTTGGGAGCAATTTTCATTTTCCCAATCCTTCCCTTTTCATTCCTGCTACAATTCCAGGTATAGCAAGCCATTGCTTCTTTAGCAGTGTTGCCGCACTTAACTTTAATTCTGCTTCTTGTTCAGTCTAATATAGTAGCCAGTTTTACTTTGACTCTTTTTCATTTTTCATGCCTTACTGTGTCCTTTATGATCTTCTCTAGGAACAAAGAAAATACATCATTGCTTGAATCAAATCAAGTTCAAGATAAAAATAAAGCCAAAAAGAGGAAGATAGCAGAGACCTCTAATGTTATTACTGAAACATTGCCTTGTGCAGAATCTGAACCAGTTGAAATTGAAGTGGAGATTGCCGAAGGAGCTATCGATGTGGAGGAGAATAACATTGAGTCTCTTGAGGAAGTAGCTTCTGCTGAACAGCCAATAAAATACATACAGACTACGGGTACTTCAGATGACTCTGCTTTGGCTCTTCTGGCAGATATCACCAGCAAGTTCCGCCATGGAGAAAGGAAAAATGAAATTCAGGAGGAATGTGACAACCTATCTGATCCAATGGGCAAACATGTGGACGGCATTGAGATCATGGAACTTCAGCTGTCGCATGTCAACAATCTTTTCCATTGTGAAAAGTGCAATCGCACATTTAAATTCCTTTACCACTTTAAGGAGCATATGAAAACACATTCCACTGAAAGCTATAAGTGTGACTTATGCAACAAAAGATACTTGCGTGAGAGTGCGTTGAAGCAGCACCTTACTTGTTACCACCTTGATGAAGGTGGAGCAAACAAAAAACAAAGACCTGGCAAAAAAATACATGTTTGCCAATACTGTGATAAGCAGTTTGATCACTTTGGACATTTTAAAGAACATCTTCGGAAACACACAGGTATCTGCAATTTTAGTTTTATACTGGCTAAATCTCTTTCCATAATTCTGTCCAGAGATGCTAAACTCTTAATTCAATACAATACCTTAAGGTTGTGCAGTGCTTTAGATTCAAAGGCAAAAAAATGCTTTAGAAATGTGAGGATGTGAGTGTAGATTACTCTGAACCAAGCACATCTTTTTCCACAATTGTGCATCCATTACTTGTTCCAGGGAAAAGGCAAGAATAAGCCACAGACAGTGAGGTTACAAGTCCAAGGTTTGCAAGAGAAACAAGAAAACATTTGCTTTTGTTCTTGGCTATCTATAGTTTATTTTGCTATTTGAAGTGGCAGGATGGTGGTGTTCACTGATGTGGGCAATCTTAACAAAGCGTTATCTTTTCATATGTTATGTCAGTGATTTGCCCATTACAGCCTGATATTAGGAAACTTCATTTTCTGAATGAATTTATAATTGGAAGTAGTATCTTAATTTTGAATACAGCAATCTACATTGCTAACATTACAGATAAAATGCAATAGACAACTTATCCTATACGCTGGTCATTAAATGAATTTCTGTTTCTATTTACCTTGATAGGTGAAAAACCATTTGAATGTCCAAATTGCCATGAACGTTTTGCTCGGAACAGCACACTCAAATGTCACTTGACAGCATGCCAGTCTGGTGCAGGTGCTAAAAAGGGACGGAAGAAGCTTTATGAATGCCAGGTTTGTAACAAAGAAAATAAGTTTCTAATGTCACAGTAGCAAAATTACCGTATATGCCGGCGTACAAGGCGACCCGGCGTATAAGACGACCCCCGTCTTTGTCGCCGAGCCGCATTCCTAGAACGTCGTCTTATACGCCGGAAACTACCAGTATTTCCGGCGTATAAGATGACTCGGCGTATAAGACGACCCCCGTCTTTGGTGCCGATTTTAACGTTTGCGGAAGTCGCCTTATACGCCGGCATATACGGTAAGTTGGAATTTGATGGAGGAACAACATGATCCTCTGCTTATCCTAATATCTGATTCTAAAACTATTTTTGTACAAGGAAAATATAAAAAATAGATAGGTGAAAGTGCCAAAGGTGCTTTTTCCGAAAGGCAACTAGACTTTCTTGACGTTTTTTTCTTTGAAAATGTTTTGTTTCTTATCCAAGGAGTTTCTTCAGTTCTAACTGAAGATATGTGAGAGGTAACAGTACTCTTTCATACTTTCCTGAGCATCTTCAAGTAGGAAACTGATCAAAGCTGATGAACTACCTGAATGGCTATTGGGTATCTCATTGATGCTACTCTTCTTCCAAGATATCTATTTCTTCCAAGAGGTGGAAGAATTTTTTTTTAAAAAAATAATACTTTGCCCTCAGCTCTGGACTTAAAACCTTTTTGCCTTTAGGAATATGCTGAATGTTAGGTGGCATCAGCTGTGCTTCAAAACTAGATGAGGCAGGCCTCTCTTTTTTAAAAAATGGGGAATCAGGGATTTTGAAAGAATAAAATTGATGTTTAAACATTTTGCAAGGCTTAAAACTCCCCAAACTCTGTATACAAAAAAAAAAAAAAAACCCAGTTTTTGTCCCATCCACTCTTTTATAGCAAATCTATGGATTTGTTTTTTCAACTTCCTTGCTGTTACTCTATATTAAATAAACAGAAGCTTTATAATGGCTCCTTCAGACAAGTTTGATTCTTGGGGACGTCGTGTCCTTTCTTCCTCAGCATATTGTTTTTGGTTTGTTGTTTTTTTTTTACATTGCTTACATTTTATTCCACCTAATTCAATGAATTCCTGGCAGTTCCCATTACACTTTGGAAGTACAGAGAAGAGGCTAAAATATATAATGCTGTATAAAAAATATAATGCTGTAATTGGGTATGTCTAGTTTAATGAAGAGACGGACAAGGGGGGACATGATAGCAGTGTTCCAATATCTCAGGGGCTGCCACAAAGAAGAGGGAGTCAAGCTATTCTCCAAAGCACCTGAAGGCAGGACAAGAAGCAACAGGTGGAAACTAATCAAGGAGAGAAGCAACCTAGAAGTAAGGAGAAATTTCCTGATAGTTAGAACAATTAATCAGTGGAACAACCTGCCTCCAGAAATTGTGAATGCTCCAACACTGGAAGCATTCATAATTAAGAAGAGACTGGACAGCCATTTGTCTGAAATGGTATAGGGTTTCCTGCCTGAACAGGGGGTTGGACTAGAAGACCAACTCTATTATTATTATTATTAGTAGTAGTAGTGGTAGTGGTAGTGGTGGTGGTGGTAGTAGTAGCAGGAGTAGTAGTAGTAGTAGTGGTAGTAGTAGTAGTTTGCCATTGCCTTCTTCTGGGATGAATTTTCAATTTTCCAGTCTAATTCACATTTCCTTGAAATGCTGCTTAGCTTCCAAGCTTGGATGAGGCCAGTCAAATGATGCCATTGGCTGAGAACAAAACTCATTGCCTATGGTCATATCAGGATAACTGTTGATAGTGCACCATGAGATAGGATCTCTTTGTGTGCCTTTAAACTGTGGTCCTGGTTTTTCATGGGAGGATCCAGTGTGCCAAGAGGCATAATGACTTATCACATTAAATAAAAAAGTCTTGCCTGGGAAAGGGAGGGAGGGACGGACGGACAAATGGATGCCAGATCAGTCTATTTGCAGGGTCCTTCTACTCTATTGAATCTCCTCTTGTAGTTTTGGGGTTCAGCACTTTAAAAAAAAGCCTCAAAATCAGAAATGGTTTGACATGTGTCAGGAGGTGTTCCAGTCTTAAATCAGGCCTATTTCATTTTTGAGCTATTTTCAGTTCTCGGAATTTACTATAGAAAACTGGCTGGTTGGATTGGTTTTGTCTAGAAGAGGTTTAGCTTGATTCAAGGGAAACAGAATATGGCAGAGTGCTGTAGAATGTTCTTGGATTAATGAATTTGCACATCCAAATCATCAGCCGTATATTAAATGTTTAAATAACTTTCCTAAAATCACTATGCCTTGCTCTTTTAGGTCTGCAACAGTGTGTTTAACAGCTGGGATCAGTTCAAGGACCATTTGGTAATACACACAGGTGACAAACCCAATCATTGTACCTTATGTGATGTTTGGTTCATGCAAGGCAGTGAACTCCGGAGACATCTACAAGATATGCACAACATTTCAGAGCGAATAGTATCTGAGGATATTCTTCCGGTGGACAGTGATCCAGTGGCGTCCATGACAATTATAGAGCAGGTGGAACAAGTTCATGTCTTGCCCGTAATTCAGGTCCAGGTGGATCCAGCCCAAGTGACTGTAGAACAGGTACATCCAGATTTGATACAGAATAATCAAGAAAAACATGAACAAATAGCAGAATTACAAGAGCAGGTTGAAATAAGCTACTTAGAAGTTGAACACATTCAGACTGAACAAGGTACTGAAGTACATATGGAAGAGCTGGATGTGGAACATGTGAACCAGTTACAAATGGAAGAAGTTCAGGCTCAACTTATGGAAGAACATAATCTAGAACAGGGAGAGTCAGTGCCCATGGATCAAGAACTGACAGCAAGCACATCTGTTCACGTGGACGTGGTGGAAGCACATGGAGCAGATCATGAAGAGTCTGATGATTTAAAAACTCAGCCAATAATGGCAATACAAGAGGAAAACGTGGAGAGCTAAACAATTTTGACTGCATTATCTGTGATTTGGAGGAAAAAAGTTAATACCAAATTATTTTTCTTAATTTTCTTGTTTGACTTTTGCCCTACCCATGGGACAACTCTCTTGTATCAGTGCCCTTAGGGAAGTGAACAGGTGGACCAAAGTTAGAATATTTGATTGAACTCTCCTTCTTTATTTCTAGGAAGGAAAAAACCCTTTTGTGTGTGTGTTTTCTTAAAATAAAATACCATGGAGCAAAGGCTATTCTGGAGATGAACAGCTTTGTGTGAAGTTTAATTGTAGAGTTTTGCTAGATTATACTGTTTTGTCATTGTAAGAAATTTCTGAAGCAAGTTCTATTTTCCTTTCAGAATATGAGTTTAGTGTTAAAACGGCAATGTTAGTATGATTATCTATAAATTTGGGTAATCTGCTTTCAGAAAAAGATATTTTTCCTTCTTTCCCATTTAATATTTTGCAATAGTTGCATTATTTGCTGATGTTCCTAACTTTAAGCACTATTTTCAAGGTCTAGAAGATTACTGGGATGAAGGTAGTGTGCTTAGGTTTTGTGAATACAACAAAAAAACCTTCGTGCCTTCACACAATAAATTAATTAAACTTCCACAAAGCTTTTACAATTCTTACAAAGCTAATACAAAAGGCAGTGTACATACTACTGTATAGTGCTTTGTAATCTTGCTTACAATTGTTCGCTATCAGGGTTTTTTTCTGCATTAAAATAAACTTGGATGGGGGAAAATGGATTGAACACTGGCAATTTTTAAGGTCCAATTATATTGGGAAAATGCAGCTGCATCTGTAACAAGATATGAGTTGGCTAATAGGTTGCACTGGCATCTTATCACCAGATTTTTATTTTTTAGAAAAAAAAGGTACATTTTATATTTAAAGGAAAAACATTAAAAATACGAAGTAAATGTGTCTACACAATACACCAGGCTACTGTTTTATTATTTAAACTTTATGACCCATGATTGAAAGATCTTGTGCTTAAAAGGTTTGAAAAAAATCCAAAGCCATAAGTATGAGTGTTTTAACTGTGGATTTACAAATGTAGGAATGTAAATATTTTAATCAGTATTATTGGACAATAAAACAGTACCTATCATAAGCTTTCAATCAATGCAGTATTATTTTTTGGGGGGATGGATATAGTTTTGAGGGAGGGGGGATAAATTTTTCATCACTATAAATTCTACAGCTACTTTTTCGAAACTGACCATCCTTCAGTTACATAATTTCACTTTGACCAGCCCTGAGAATTGCGGAAAGTGGAATCAACACATTTTGAGGTTACCTGGGTTGGAGAATGCTTCTCTCAAAGAAATTGCAGTCAGTCCTGGTTCTTCAATAACCATATTGACTTATTATATCTTTCTTCAGCTCATTAGTGCCAACCAATCCTATCTGAAGTGATGCGATTTGGTTGCAAACGTTTCGTCTCCATTTGGGGGGACATCTCCAGTACACTTTGAAATGTGCTCGTCTGTCAGAGCACTGGCCTTTAAATATCTTGTGTGATGTAAATTGGTGGTGTTATTCATTCAGATGTTTCTGAATCATGGGCTGTTTGATTGGTTGGTTGTTGCTGAGCCGTAGTCTTTGATGTTTAGGTATTATCTGTGTGATGTAAATGGTGCTTGTTCATTTGGTTGCCTCTGAGTCATGGTCTGGTTTCGGGTTTGGCTAGCTGGCTGTTGTTGAGACGTATCCGGTTTCTTGTGAGGGGTTGTGATTTTTGTTGCTGTGTAGTGGGGTGCCTGTTCCTTTTAAATGCTACCTTGGGGATTGAAGTAGTTCTTTAGTTCTCATTGGTTGCTAGGTTGGATCAATGTCAATGTGTTAGTTTACTGACATTGGTGGAGAACCAGGCTTCGAGGAATTCTCTTTCTCCCCTTGTTTTTGCTTGAGTTACAATTGTGGTCCTGGTTAGATCAAACTTGTGTCCTTCTGAGTCTTCATGGACGGACATGAGGGATAGTGAGTCATGTCTTTTGATAGCCAGGAAGTGTTCGTGCAGTCTGGTAGATAGTTTTCTTCCTGTCTGGCCCACATAGTTATTTTCACAGTTGCTGCACTGGATTCCGTATATGACGCCTGATCTTTGGTTTGTTTCTGTCTGCTCCTTAGGTTTTGACGGGGTCTGTCTGAAAGTTGAGGCTGGTATGTGGGTTACTGCGAGGTCATGTTGGCATAGCAGTCTTGCTGTCATCTATGAAACATTCTGTACGTAGGGAATTGTGATTTGTCTGGTCGTTGTTCCTGTTGTAGTTGTTGTGTTGCTTTGGGTATTTGTATTGTTTGTGTATGGCCATCTCTGGATGAAGTTCTATGTTTCTCTTGAAGACTTCATATAAGTGTTTTTGTTCTGCTGATCTGGCTTCGTGGTGTTGCAATGGGATTCCGTTCTCCCAAATAGTGTTCTGATGCAGCTTTCTGTGTGGCATTTGGGGTGGTTGCTGTGGAAGTTGAGGATTTGATCTGTAAGTGTTGCCTTCCTGTACATGGATTTTAGAAGTTGGCCATTGGCCATTCTGGTTACAAGACATCCAGGAATGGCAGTTAGTTGTTATTCTCAATTTCTGTTTAAATCGGATGTCTGTGAAGACATTGTTGATTCTTTGGTAGGTTTGATTGACTTGGTTCTGCTTGATTATTATGAAGATGTCATCCACGTAATGTATCTACAGCTTGGGGTTTATTTATGGAAGTACAACTTCTTCAATCTTCTGCATGATGACTTCTGCGACCAGGCCAGATATAGGAAATCCCATGGGCGATTCCTTGAGTTGTTCATAGATCTCTCCGTCAAATTTGAAGTAGGTGGGTAAGCATAGCTGGGGGAGTTCATATGTGTTTTCTGTTGTGAGTGGTCCTCTTGGTGTTTGTGTGTTGTCCAGTAGTTCTTTGATTAGGTCAATTGCTAGTTTCAGATCTACCGATGTGAATAATGCGGTAACATCAAATAATATCACTGTTTCATCTTCATCAATGTGTAGGTGTTTGAGTTTATCCAGGAATTGTGTGGCATTGTTTATGAAATATTGGGAATCGCCGATTAGGTGCTTTAGGTGTTTCCACATTTCTTTCGCAAGGTTGTAAGTGGGTATGCCAGGGAGTGAGACAATTGCCTAAGTGGGGTGTTTTCTTTGTGGACTTTCGGAAGTCCATAGAACTGTACTATATTTGAATCGGTTGCTTTCATTCTCCAATATTCCTCTTTGGTGGTTTGATTTAATTCCTGCAACTTTTTTAGGGTTTTGTTGATCTTGTTGGTCAGTTTCATCATTGGGTCTGTGTTGATGCACCTATAGGTGGATGTATTCTGTAAGAGTTACCTTGTCTAGTATGACTGTCATTTGGCCTTTGTCAGCTGGTAGGATGATAATGTTGTCTGTTTTGAGGGATTTCATTGCTTGTAGTTCCTACATTGCTTGTAAAGATGCTGGAGTTTTGTTTGCGTTGCAGCATCGGGACAATGATCTGGCGTATTTGTTGTTGGGTTTCTTTGCTGGGGTCTTTCGATTTTCTAGGCTTGCTAGGAATTCTGTGTTTGGTACATCTTTGTGGCTGAAGTTGAGTCCTTTCGTCAGGACTTGTTGTTCGTCATCTTTTAGTTGGCAGTTGGATAGGTTCTTGATCCAGGCTTGTTCATTGTTGTCGGGGTTGTTGGCCGTTAGTCTGGATAGCTTGTGTTTGTTGTTCTGCGTTCAGTTGCTGTGTTTAAACTTTGCATGAGTTGTGGTCCAATGGTGTTGTTGTATAGGAACTTTTGCTCGGTGAGGCATTTTATGTATTTGTTGAGGCGATTGTGAGCATCTGTTATCATCAGTCAGACCATGCTTTGACCATTCTGTCTTGCTGTTTTCCATGGTGCTGGATGATTAATTGATGGTCTGTAGTTAAAGCTTTGGGGGAGTACTTTGAAGGAAGAACAGTTGCTCACATGTGGAGGCTTCTCTGCAGGTGAAGGTCTCCCAGCGGCGAGCGGCATTGAGCGTTGGACACCCGAAGTTGGTTGAGATGTGTTCGATGTTGTTTGTTATGTACTTTAATATAGCTACAATTATATTACTTTATTGTTGGCTAAGAATCAACGCAAACATTTGCTTAGCAGAAGTTAAATGCATCTGCCATTTTTAGTGATCTCTCAGTCAAACTTTTCCACTCTTAAAATGCCACTTAAAATAGTCCCTAACCTCCTTGTGTGAATAACTTTAAAGTCTCTGTTCATGTGAAAGAGCCTTCATAAAGCAATTGCTCTTTAGAATGGCTTGGCACCAACTTCCATCAGCCATCTTCCAACTTTGTTAGAAGATGGCAGTATGGGAAGGCTGATGTAATACTGTGATATTTATTTTAAGTATAATGTAAAAGGGATTATCTAGCTATTCGTAGTGAGGCTTGAACATTGAATACAGTCTTTTAAATGCCATATTTTTGACTCTGACCTTTATTTCTGGTTGTGAGTCAAATTCCTAGGTCCAGAGGCAGGTTCAGTTCAAAACCACAATAGCAAATGTTATGCTTAAGACATGTTTTTTTTTTTTTACCAAAAGTCACTCCCAGAAGCCATACTTGAAATGGTGGCTCTGGTAAGCAACGACAGGTTAGTTAAAGAAGCTTTTTTTTTTTTACCCAGCACACAACAGCTATAGCAGTTATTCCCAAACCTGGATAAATTAGCAAAAGTGGGTAAAAGTGGTTTTTCTTTGGGTTACTGCTATGGTTTTCTGTGCAGTTGTGTTTTACCTACATTGGGTAAAAAAGACTTTCTGATAAGTTTTGGGTATCAAAGGAAAAGGTTTGGGAAACATGGAATTGTAGAGTTCCAGAAATGTAACAGTTGCTATTCTTCATGTCTTTAAAACAGAGAAATTTGAGAGGCTGCAGCTATTTTGTGGCACATTCATGTTAGGTACTGGACTAGAAACTTGAGGCCCCTGAGTAAATGTTTAGGAGCAACAGAGGGAAGTCACCTTACAGGAAGTTAGCCATAACAACCATTGTTATTATGTTGACATAACAACCCTTTGTTTTGCGACCAGTTACAAAGGCATTGGGGGAAAAAAACCTTACAATTTGACCTTGCATTTACAACCGTTGCAGCATCCCTCCCTCATGTGATCAAAATTTGGGCAGGTGGCACTTTTTTTTTTTTTTTTTTTTTTTTTTTTTTATTAAAAGTTTTATAAATTTTACAAAAAAAAACAAGAACAATACAGAACAAAAAACAACATATACAAAAGAAAAAAAAATTAAACAATACATATAAAAAAAACCCCCCACCCCACACCCCTCCCAAAAACCCTCCCTTCCCCCCCCCTGAGCTTCCCAGAGCAGAATATAGGCTTAAGAAATAATAATAAAAAAAAAAAAAAAATAAAAATAAAAATTAAATTAAAAACTTTATATTTATATATATAAAAAAGATATCTATAATATATATAAAAATAAAACTTATGAAAAAGCTATATAATATTTTTGTATACCCAATCTAAATTGTATAAATTTTATCCATTTGTCCCAGATAGCAAAAAACTTCTCTTGCGTTTGTTGCTTTAAGAAAGCCGAAATCTTTGCCATTTCTGCCAGATAAGCTACTTTAAAAAACCATTCCTGCAGTGTAGGCAAAGATTCCTTCTTCCAATATTGTCCAATTAACAGCCTCGCGGCTGTGATCAAGTTTAACATCAATACAACCTCCTTTGTATCACAATCTGTAACAATACCTAACAAAAATAATTGCGGAGTAAATTTTACCCTCCTTCTAAAAATTCTCTGGATATTCCACCATATTTTGATCCAAAATGCTTTTATCTCTCTACATGACCACCAAATATGATAATAGGAAGCCTCCTTATAACCACATCTCCAACATTTAGGTTGCACGTCAGGGTACATGTAAGACATTTTTTGTGGATCAAGGTGCCATCTATAAAACATTTTATAAAAATTCTCCCTTAGATTCTGTGCTTGAGTAAATTTGACATTTCTCACCCAAATAGTTTCCCAGGTGTCCAATGAAACTGGCTCACCAAAGTTCTGCGCCCATCTAATCATACAATCTTTAATTAGTTCCGTTTCTGAGTCCAATTCAACTAAAACCCCATAAATTC